CACCATAATTTGCAAATAAATTATTTAAAAATCAGACAATGTGATTTTCTGGATTTCTTTTTCTCATTTTGTCTCTCATAGTTGAGGTATACCTAGGATGAAAATTACAGGCCTCTCTCATCTTTTTAATTGGGAGAACTTGCACAATTGGTGGCTGACTAAATACTTTTTTGCCCCACTCTACCTCTGGTGAATCCCCTGAGTGATGTTGTATTGTTACAACAATACATTCAAAACGCTTAGAAACATTTTACTCTTATAAATTAAAACACTACGATAAGTGAAGGAGTTCAAGTATCTCGGGGTCTTGTTCTCGAGTGAGGGAACAATGGAGCGTGAGATGGGTCGGAGAATCGGAGCAGCGGGAGCGGTACTGCAGTCGCTTTACCGCACCGTTGTGACGAAAAGGGAGCTGAGCCAGAAGGCAAAGCTCTCTGTCTACCGGGCCATTTTCGTTCCTACCCTCACCTATGGTCATGAAGGATGGGTCATGACCGAAAGAACGAGATCGCGGGTACAAGCGGCCGAGATGGGTTTTCTCCGCAGGGTGGCTGGTGTCTCCCTTAGGGATAAGGTGAGAAGTTCGGTCATCTGGGAGGGACTCGGAGTTGAACCACTCCTCCTTCGCGTCGAAAGGAGCCAGTTGAGGTGGTTCGGGCACCTAGTAAGGATGTACCTGGGCGCCTCCCTAGGGAGGTGTTCCAGGCACGTCCAGCTGGGAAGAGACCAAGGGGTAGACCTAGGACCAGGTGGAGGGATTATATCTCTTCGCTGGTCTGGGAGCGCCTTGGGATCCCCCAGTCAGAGCTGGTTGATGTGGCCAGGGAAAAGAAAGTTTGGGGCTCTCTGCTGGAACTTCTACCCCCACGACCCGACCATGGATAAGCGGGAGAAGATGGATGGATGGATTACGATAACACTTTATGAAATTGGCAAAGAAAAGCTTGGATACAGGGTTGTATTTTTCTTATGTATGTAGGAGAATTTAGTATATATTTTTTGTATCCAAATATACCATGTTCCTTCGTATTGAAACATCTAAAGTCTCATTAATCCTTTTTTTCCACAGCATGATACCTGTCCTGTCTGCAGGAAGAGTCTAAGTGGACAGAACACGGCCACAGACCCACCCGGGTTATCAGGAATGAGCTTCTCTCCTTCATCCTCCTCCTCTTCCTCCCCTAGCTCTCCTAACAATGAGAATGCTGCCAGAAACTCTTAGATTTTCCACCGTCACCACACATCTGAAAAACTCACAAATGAAGCCAAGCGAGACGCAGCGGCTCCGAGCTGAGACCAGGGCAGTGGTCCGTCTCATCTCTAGGGGACGATGTGAGTCGAGTTGAACTCTGAATCTGTTGCAGACTTTAAGTCGTCATTCCTCCCCCTGTGCTGAACGGACGCCCGGTCCAGAGCCTGCTGCTATTGTTTCCGAGTATTTGAGGAGGTGGGACGGGGTGATGTGGAAGGAGGATCCAGAAAGGCTGTCACCATAACAATAAGAACTGGAGCGAAGTTTGAGCGGGCAGCTTTTTGACGGAGACTTGTCGAGTCTGGGGCACATTTTTTATTCAAAAGACAGAATGCAACTTTTTTTAAAGCCTGTGGTGGTGCCGAGTGCATAGATGTGTAGATAGAGAATTTGATATAATTGGTCAGCTGCTGTACAGCTCGTGGATCAAACTGAAACTTTGTGGAAAGGAAGCTGAGTGATGCACTTTTTATTTATTTTTTTGCACCTTTTTTTCTTCTTTTTCTTTTGCACACAATTGTGTCTAATGGTGGGAATGTGGATTTGGGTAAACTACTGAACAAAAAAACAAAAATGTCTGCAGTGAAAAAAAGAAAAGGTTTTTATTCTGGTATATTTTTTATTAGAGTTTGATCGAGTGTGTTTGGTGCAAAGGTTAAGATCCGCACAGCTCTACAGTGGACAAGTTGTTCTTGCAAACAATCAAACTCACTTATTTATTGAACCCTTGCCGAAGACCCATATTGAGCAACATAAAAAGAAAACAACTGTATAAAAAGGCATGGGAACATCTTACCTCTTTGAAACTGGCCAAATGTGTTTCACTAAGTGTTTAAATTTGATTTACTGATTTTTCGTACAGTCACAATAAAGTGGTAAAGCAAACAAATCCTTCATGTTTCTCCTGATAATGAATGGTTTTTAAAATATCATCATCAAATGTTGCACCAGGAGGTGTAATGTTACACTTTTATTAATGCTTAAATATCAACAAAACACTTTTTTCAAACTTCCACAGGGCATATACCTTTTATAGGCACTATCAGTTCTTTTTGGCTATTCTGTTGACAGAAATGTAAAACCAATGTTGATAAAAATGCCTCAAGGGTCTTCATACCTCTGTGGAACTGGGCAGCATGCCAGATGCCAGACATTTCAAAAAAGGATTTATTCTAAAAAATGAACTAACGGGTTTTGGCTGAGTCACCCGACCAGAGGATTTTATATTCTAATAAATACAAGTTACAAATAAATCTGTATTCCTGATGGTACCAACCTTACCAGAGTGTGACATTGCCTTCCACTGCAAATACATTAAAGCTGCTATTGGTTGGATAATTAAATAAGGGTGAAAGAACAGAGGCCCTGATTGAAAATGCTGACTTAAATGGTATAGTACCCTATTTTTTTGCTTTACTTTAAAAAAAAAAAAACGTGTTTACTATATGGGCTTTTCTGGTTCCTGTACTACTACAACATGTCTCTGGGCCTTTCATACCACCACCACTTGCATACTTGTCTGGCGTCTGTTCAACACTCCTTTTTATTTTATTGCCATTTCAGCAGATCGCTGTCTTCTTTGTCTCTGTCTTTTTTTGAGAGCGTCACACCGCTGCATCGAACCAGCAGGAAATTAAAGTGAACTTTGGTGCAGCTGCAGCATTGTCTAATGAAGTGGAGGGAGGCTGGCAGAGAGAGCAGGGGAGGGGGAGAGCGGTGACGCGTATGACTTCTCAGCAGTGATGTCAAAAGGTATGAAACATGCAGGGAGGAAATGTTACTCTAACTTTAATTTGCAGCAGTGATAATATTTAGATTCAATGATTGGCACCAGTTATATAGTCATGCTGATTTGATAAGCAGGCCTTTGTGAGTATTTGTGTGTAGATACAAGCTATCCTTCATATGAGGCCAAAATTAGACTCAACCAGAACAAAGAAAATAGGCTAACTACTCTGTCTCTCCTCAAGTGACAAAGCACTGGATTGTCACGGCCCATTTCCCTATGTGTTGCTCTGCAGCTCAAACATGCATTCAGGCTATCTTAGTGTAATTCTAAATAATGGAAATGTTATTATTGCACTGCACTTGCGGAAGACATTTTTATGCTCATATGCAATTTACACCCGAGCAAAACACATTCATCTTACTGCAGCAGCATGCACCTGTCAGTGCATGCACTACATGAACACCTCTGCTGTTCTTGGTGACCTTTGTTACAGGTACCTGCACGGATTGTGCAGTATATGACTTGAATAGCTAATTGACCCATCCTCAGTTTTCACCCTTTTATACACAAATCGAGGACACATAGCACAACTAGAGTACAAATTGTAGTTGTGCATTGTGTACTTTCAATAAAAAAAACATCTTGGATTCGTGTGCATAGCTCCAGGGGGAATAAATGAAAGAACTCAAAAATAGAAGGGGGACAGTGTGTTCCCTCAGGTGCATAAAGCCAACAACAAGATCAGGCACATTTGAGACGACAAGTTGGACAGTATCTTACCTTTTCATCAAGATATTTACGTTATCTGTTTAACTTACTTGTTCCTGTTTCTGTTTATTCAGTATTTAACTTGATTTCTGTTGTTTCAGGGTCACCTAACGTTGAACATTGTTCTGCCTTCTCCTGTGCCTCCTTTCTGTGGCCGCTAGGGCGCACTAAGCACCAGCCATGGCTAACACCAGTTCAGTGAGGTTGTCATTGAAAGCACCTTTAAAACATATGACATCATTGGAGTTTTCATGAACACGTGGTAATGAAACTGCTGACGTTAGTTTGTACCCTAATTGACAACATATTGAGCATGTATTTCAGTGTGGCTATTTAGAAAATAGTTACTTGAGGCAAACCAAGCTTTAGGTCATCATGACAGAGAGGCATCAGTCGGAGGCAGCTTGAGTGGAATTAGCAGGAGAATAGGCTAATTTAATTGAATGATATTTGACACGCAGTCAAAGGACTCACTTAGTGGGAAGCTTGAGCATCTGTGACACAACGACTAGTGAAAGTAAAAGCGCAGTAGTTTGCAAAGAAGTCACGTCCACCCCTCCCATGCCCCTCTCTCCTTTCTCTCTCCCTCTCTGCTTCTCTCCATCTCCCCTGCATCTCTGATTGGTTTTCTCCAGAGATAATTGGAGGCAAAATTTTGATATGCTCAATGTGATGGACAGGAATGAGGTTTCACCGGCTTCTGATGCCACCATGAAAAAGAAGGAGGTGGACGGCAGTGGACGCAGCCACATCAGCGCACCAAAGGCTGCCGCGTCCAAATGCACAAGGAGCACCAGCAGCCAGAACTGCCTGGACTCCGGCTCTCCTGTCGCACCCAGCGCTAAGCAGCTCGGCGGGGCCAGCAACATCGTGATGGACGAGACGGAGGATGGGGAAGAGGAGTCCAAGTTCCAGCATCCGCGGTTGCGCCGAGCTGGGGGGAGCGGCAGCGGCGGAGGTGGAGGAGGAGGAGGAGGCGGCAGTATCAGGATGAAGAACTTTACGCCAGGAGGGGGAGCCGCGTCCTCGGGTTCCAGGAGAAACTCAAACAAGGAGCCCTGCCACACGCACACAGAGGAAGCTCCTGCCGCTCCACGGCCCACCTCTGCCTCCAGAGCTACGGCGACCCAGACACCCAATCCGGGCGATGCTGCCCAGCGCGGCGAGACCAGCAGAGCATCTGGGGCGGGGGCGTCGGCGGCAGCGGTCGCGTTAGAGGTTTTGACCGCGGCAGCAAGTGATGGTTGCAAAAGCGTCGCTGCAAATTCCAGCATGAAATGCAACAAAAACGGAGAATGCAGGAGGGACTCGGGTACCGGGAGCCTGCGCTCAATCATCTCCAAGCAGGAGAGGCAGACAGGAGGGTCGGGGAGGGCCGAGGACGGAGGGAGCGCCAAGCGAGGAGCCCGTAACTCGACCACCGCCAGCATGGACGGCTCGATCACACCAGGCGGGTCCATGACCGGGGGGCACGGAGGAGACAGCGTCAACCCCGGCTCTACCCCGGTGACCAGCGGTTTGCCCGAGAAAAAAGACTCCAGGGTGTCCTTCTCTAACGCACCGAGCCGGAAAGCCTCGTCCTCGCTGCACGGCCCGACTCAGACCCAGACCCAGCAGCCGAGGAACTCTGTCACTTTCCAGAAGCTGGAGGATGGACCCCCAATCGTGCCGGCCGAGGACTCGGAGCCTCAGGACAGCCAAGCCAGCTTCATGCAGCGGCAGTTTAGTAGTATGCTGCAGCCTGGAGTTAACAAATTCTCCTTACGCTTGTATGGTAGTCAAAAAGCAGTGGAGAGAGAGCAGGAGAGGGTAAAATCAGCTGGAAATTGGATTATCCACCCTTACAGCGATTTCAGGTAAGAGCTGGGGCTGCCATTGGTTGCACGTTGAATGTCAAGAGGGGCTGTATGGGCCCCCATTGTCATCCACAAATAACTTACTACTGAGTCCCCACGGTGGGAAAACATATGCGTGGTTAATGTAAAAGGCTGCTTCATTTTTATTTCATCCCCTCTGGTTGAATCTTTAGAGATTTGAATCGATGCATTACAACGTGCTGCCAATAATCCCCCAAACAACCTGTTGTCAGGAAAACGGACTTGAGCAAAGAAAGAAAGAGTGTGTGTCTGTCTCTGTGTGTGTGTGTGTGTGTGTGTGTGTGTGTGTGTGTGTGTGTGTGTGTGTGTGTGTGTGTGTGTGTGTGTGTGTGTGTGTGTGTGTGTGTTCTTTAACCCCCCCTCGTCCCCCTTAACAGCGACATTCATGTTTGTTTAGTGTCCTAAACAAATGCTGTTCCAGTCTGCATGTACAGTAGCGCGTGTCTGAGATGCTCAACAAGCCCGGCCTGCTAACACATCTAGACTTTTTGTTGAAGCACGCTTACGTTTAACAAAGAGGACAACGCTTATTGGGGCGTTATTAAAAATGCCATTATTTTTTTCGAAGATCTGGTTAAAATGTGCAGCAGTATAATATTCTATCATCTGCGACAAGAGGCGTGCTGAAAGGATATAGGCTCTCTGTGTGTGTGTGTGTGTGTGTGTGTGTGTGTGTGTGTGTGTGTGTGTGTGTGTGTGTGTGTGTGTGTGTGTGTGTGTGTGTGTGTGTGTGTGTGTGTGTGTGTGTGTGGTGTGTGCGATGCACTCAGTAATGGAATGTCACCTTGAGCCAAGTGTGCGAAAACCTCAAGCATGCATCACTGGAGACATAACCGCCTGCACGGCTCCCCTGATCCTGCATTTAATACATTATGTTATATGTTAAGGCTCAAACACCGATAAGACAATATTTAAAGACATAGATATGAGCCACGAAGGCTCCTCGTGACTCGGGCTCGATGAATTAGCTTATAATCATTTTCTCGACATGTATCAGTCGCTATATTGTATTAAGGTCAGAAAATGTGAAAGTTTTCCCCTAGTATGGGCTGCGTGGTTTCAGCACCACAAGGAGGGGATAGCTCCCGAATAATTTGGAGTCGTCTTGCGCGTCTGAACGCTACCTTTAACCCCCCCTCGTCCCCCTTAACAGCGACATTCATGTTTGGCCTATTTTGGTCACATTACGCCGACTCAGTATTAAAGCCTAAACTTCAGACAGATGTTTTATTTGACGACAGGTGGACACATTTCTTTACCATGATAGCTAACACACGGGTAAATCTGTATCTCCCCCTAAGTACTGCATAGTTAAAGTTGCTTCAAATATTATCATGGGATGGTTATTATTATTGTCATGAAGTGGAGCAGCTTGTTGCATAAGTCGCAGTGTGATGACTCAGCGCTGCACCTGTCCTGCAGAGCTTCCTGTGACGGGCTCAGACATCTCTTAATTCTGTCTACCCCATCCAAACTGCCACATCAAAGATGGCAGATGGTTAGACTGTTGCCTTGTAGGTATCCATACAACTCTAATAAATTAAACATAATGTTCTGTTGGTCCTGATTGACAGCTCAAGTCACTGATGTTTCAGTACAACACTAGAGCAGTTTCTAATTGATCAGACGCCTAATTTGATCTGCTATAAAAAATGTCAGAAAAGGACTTCTCTTTGGAGTCTCTGAGAGCTCTGTAAATCAGGTTTAAAACAAAAAGTAAAACTGCCGTTACTTGGATCTTATCTGTGTTTTACTTTAGTTTGTTTATATGAGGTCTAATTTACTCTAAACACGAGTCACCGTGAGGAACAATAGACCTTTACATTGTAAAAATATGGAATATTGTAATATTTTATCAAGTGTGCCAGCTCAGTCTGTTGAAAAAGGATGAATTATCGTTTCCAGTCTTTTCTGCATTAGGTCAGAATAAATGAAAAAAAGACAAAAATCATAAGGAACATTGTTGCAATAATAGTTTCCTTTAATTTTGTACAACTAGACTATAGTGCAGTATTTGTAAGTCAGGCCAATGTGAGTGATACAAAAGGAGGTTGAACGTTTCTTCCATCATTTGAACCCTAAAAAGTATAGATATAGAAATAAACTTCATCAGCCAGGAGCCGAGACAATTATAGGAGTGGTTTATTTGCATTAAAAGAATTTGTGTGGTAAAAGCAGGTTCATCTCATTATTCTCTGAATGTTTAGGCATGCAAAGGGAAGACTTAGTACTTCGTTTACTCTTTCCCATCTTCAGTTAGTAAGTCTCTTGTGCCTATCGGCTTTCCACAGCAACTCTCATTCTTATCTGACTCTATTTTTGTCTTTTCCCCCTCCCCCTTTTCCCCCTCAACACATACACACTCAAATACATGTTAACACACTGTCATGCACACACCACAACGTCACACACCTGCTAGGTTCTACTGGGATTTCACAATGCTGCTGTTTATGGGGTGCAACCTGATCATCATCCCCGTCGGCATCACCTTCTTCAAGGACGAGACCACGACGCCCTGGATCATCTTCAACGTGGTCTCCGACACCTTCTTCCTCATGGACCTGGTGCTAAACTTTCGCACTGGAATCATCATTGAAGATAATTCAGACATCATTTTGGACCCTGAAACCATTAAGAAAAAGTACTTAAAAACGTGGTTCATTGTAGACTTTGTGTCCTCCATCCCAGTGGATTACATATTCCTCATAGTGGAGAAAGGGATCGACGCAGAGGTGTACAAGACTGCTCGGGCCCTGAGGATCGTCCGCTTTACCAAGATCCTAAGTCTTCTGAGGCTGTTGAGGCTCTCTAGATTAATACGCTACATTCACCAATGGGAAGAGGTAAGAGGATTTACGAGTGTCCCTCAGTAAATATTATATCAACTCCAATCACACAACTCATAGGCACAAAACCCAATGTAGTCTGTGATAAAAGGTCACTGGTTTGCCTCCAATATGCTGATGTTGGCTTGCGATCAAAGCAACAGTCTGCCTGCTCTCCTCCGCCTGCACGCTCCATATTAATGTTCTCACCTGCCACCTGGTGAGAAATGTAAAATGTCAGCAGGATGTTTGAGCTTTAACAAACTTTGCATTCTAATTACTGTTATTGTCACACAAACCCCCCCACTTACCCTCTGTGTCTCTGTCTGACCTGGTAGTCCCACAGGCGACGCCAGGCGGTCTAATAAGCAGCCTATTACCACGGCAAACACACTTAATCAATTAAGGTGCCAGAGGAAGAGCAGGTGGGGTGGGGTGGGGGGGGTGATGATAATATACAGCACTAGGGGGCTGTTGAATGCGATTATGTATGTCAGTAATTGTTCATTTAAAAGGATCGGATAGGGTAAGCTGGTATTCCCTCAGAGGCCTGACAGATTTTGGATGTGAAGATGGGTGCAGTTGCTAGGTAGTCTCCACTTCTAGTAAACTGAACTCAGTGACACAATCCTGCACTTTCTGGCCACTCAGCTTTGATTTACTTTGTGAAGGATGCACTTTGTCGGGGCTCTGCTCCAAGTTCTCCATTGGGCTCCCCTTTCTATAATGAAAGGGAGCTGCCTGGGAGACCGGAAGTCCAACCATGTCACAAGATCACTCAACTTTAAGTTTATGCCAGTATTGGCAGCCTGGTGCTGGCATTTTGCAGTGGTGAGCAGTGCAGAGGGGCTCGGCTGCAAACTTGACCTTTGGATAATTGGATTTCTGAAGATATGATGAGATACACACACATACACACACACAGTGGTGCATGATGGGAAGTGATACTTGCCATGCATGGAGAATGAGGGGAGATGGGGTGAAGAGTGAGACACTGACACAAAGGAAACGACCAGTTCCAAAGCCCAGTCTGTTGGGCATTATATGTCATCCTTTATTTTGAAATCAAAGAATCTCAGCCCTTAGCTTCTTTTAGTTCCTGTAACAGTATGAGCTGTCCGTGGTGCTGAACATCACCATTAGCCGGCACAACAGGACCATGTGTATTACAGTTCCTCTCATCCAACCTCAGCGAAAATGATATGACAATGACTCTAGTTGGTCAGTTGTTGATTGATATCAACTGACAGAGAAAACCCCATAAAGGTTAAAGTGACATTTAGAAAGATCAGCACATGTGATTCATGTCCAGTCTCATCCCTCATCCCTCCCATCACAGAGCATCACTTATCTCTCTGCTACACCAAGTAAGAAATGACCCATTTAACAGACCTTCTTACAGTGAAAAGTTTGCCATTTCTTCCGATCTTGACCTAATAAAGATTAGCATGCAGCCGTAAAGCACCAACAACGGGAGGTTCGTCCGTCAGTCAGGTGATAGATGATTGGCCTAAGTGTCTGTCCAGTGACTCACTATGATTGATGTGTGAGACGACATAGGCTCACAGTTGTTAAGGATCATGATGGTCCCTGTCCATCACTCTGTGTGAATGTGTGTATGTGAGCGGGTTGGCATGCCTGTCTGTGTTGTTGGTGTGTCAGTGTGCCTGCGGGCTTGCGTGAGTGTGTTGTGTGTGTGACTGGACTCTGTGTTCATGTCTGAGCCTCTGATTGATGTCGTGTGTCTCTGTGTAACAAATGCTCCTGCTGTGTTTGATGTGGGACTGAAGTGAACTTGTCTCCCCTGCTCATTAATCTAACTTGGTATAATCCAGGAGCTTAGTGGGAAGCCATTGACAAAGTTGAAAAATGAACGCCATATTCCATGAGTTCATGAAGATGCTTTTTGGTAGGGACTGTATCTATTTAAATATGTATTAATTATATTATTATAACTGTCACAAAACCTTATATCCACTTGGGATTGATAAAGTAGTTTGAAAAGTTCCACAAAATAAAAAAGATCCAAGGAACTTTCCAAAGCAAAGTTCACACTTTTAGCTGCTCTGCATGAGTTGTTGAACCGATTCTATTTTTAACACTATGAAATAGCTTTTCAACCTTTGCCAGAACAATTCCATGGCTCTTCCTTTTTTTCTATCTCCACATGTCTCAGCACAATGTAACCCCCACTTCCTGTTTTGTTGTCTACAGATCTTCCACATGACCTATGACCTGGCTAGTGCGGTGATGCGGATCTTTAACCTGATTGGTATGATGCTGCTGTTGTGTCACTGGGACGGTTGCCTACAGTTCTTGGTCCCCATGCTGCAGGACTTCCCCTCAGACTGCTGGGTGTCCCTCAACAAGATGGAGGTATGTAATGGGGAACCGTGTCTGCGCATACCAAGTTGCACATATCCCCCCCAGAACTGGATTAGCATATTTTATTCTGCATTGATTGGCAAAGAGCTAACGTTGGTCACAGAATATCGATTGAAGTTTCTGGCCGCCATCAGGAAATATTGTCTGAACGTCAATCCATATTTTTGGACCATGATAAACTCTTTCTCTTGGAGGAAAGCCTCAAATCTCTGAGTGAACTTTTGCACCAGAAAACATTGGGTTTATTTCCCTTTCAACTCCTTTCCTGGCACAAAAATAAATCTGTTGCGTTGTTAAGCATCTTGTAGTATTGGAGGAATTTGGGTCATACTCAAAGATGGACATTTAATAATTTGAAACAAAACTAAGAGTCTACAGCCACACAAAGCAGCTCTTTGGAGAGCACAGTGGTGGTTTGAGCTAAATGCTAACAGCATCATGCTCGCAATGATAATGCTAATAAACTGATGTTAATCTGCTATAATGTCTTCGACGTCCTCTTTCTTAGTTTGGTGTGTTAGCTTCTAACTTGATCTATTTCGCACTACACCTCATTACGGCAGCCTTCTTGGGTATATTCAAACATATTGGACAAATTAAATTGAGACATGAATATAGTGCAACATGAAAAGCCAGGAGAACATCAAAGTCTTATATCGATAGGAGATTGGTGATTAGAGTTCATATATCAAAGCAGGCTTCATCCTCAGGGGAGCAACACAGTCTGAACAAAATGTCCTTGCCACCTAAGCAACAGTAGTTAAGATATAGTATTTATACATTATTATTCAGTCTGAACCAAGGTTGTGGACCCACATTTACACCCCTAGTGTCATGCTGCTGTCTAAAGTGAAGGGTCCTCTAGGTTAGCGGCAATAGTGTAATTGACATCAATATGGTCCACGTTTTAAAACAGCGCACTGCACTATTCATGGAGCTATTATTATCCTAGTTATTGTTTCAATTTGCAATTACTGATTCAGGAGGAACAGACAGCATTACTTTCCAACAACTCTAAGAAAATGACTCATATCCATGCCCTCTGCAGCCGATCTGAAAATAATGAGAACGCTGTGAAAAAAACCCCCAGAGATTTAAGCACCTCTGAAACCCTCCGTGGCTCCTCTTCAACATGGTGGGGTGATGACAGGAAAGATAAAAGAGGAAAACGGAGGGATGGGGGATATGGCCCGGCAGCTGGTCTCTTTGTTGCCATGTCTCTCTCAGAGAGATAAAAGCTGCTTGTTTATAGGTCCTGTCTGTGAGCCCAGCCGTTCACTGAGTGAGGGGAGACCACACTAACCCAGACATGAGGCACAGGTCCAAATGGGGTTTTACAAAGATTGGGTCCCACTTCTCTACATTCATCCAGCCTGCCACAACAACTTTATTTCCTGGATGGCAGCAGTGGCTGTTGTTTTGTATTGCTTTACAAAAGTAATTACTGTTTGAACAAGTTAATGTGGGGAGGAGGATGAATGTCCCCCCTCTCATGTCTGTCAAAGGCCTTTTGCTTTAGGTGTCAGACACAGACACACTGCCGTTTTTATGGTAATATTATGTAGAGCTGGACAGTATTGACAAAACCATATATTATACAATTGATTCAGGATCTCAGCATCAATAATAATAATAATAATAATAAAATGTTGGGTTTGATGAATGGTGCTTTCATGGGACATTTAATCAAAATTGACTGATGGGGAAATATAATATAATATATAAATATGAACTATAAGAAGGCAGAACAGGAGGAAGCATCTGCTATTTATATAATTCAGCCAACATTACTTTTGTGTTACCTTTAAAATAATAAAAAATACATTTCAACTTGTGTACAATCATTTAACAATACTCAGGATGCAGACGTTAAGAGATTTTATCCACAGCGGGTGTGTCCACTCTCCCCGAGGCTGACTCTTAACAATGTCCAAACCAGTCTTTGATGTAAAACATCCACTGGCTGCCCTCTGCTGAAATACACCCACAAAACAACTCTGAATGCAAAGCACGAACTGACTCATACATCAATGTTTTTTCATTTCAAAGAAAAAGGTACTCCTAGCAAAATTCTTTCCTCAGTCAATCCACAACAAATGAATCAGTTATTTTGATAATCTGTCAATTTGTTTCAGCCTATTTCGAAAAATGTCTAAGCTTCACCTTTACATTCAAATACATCTGGTTTTGGTAGGTTGGTCAGACAAAATAGTCCAATTTAAGATGCATCTTTTGTGTATTGATAAATTAATCAAGACATTAAACAAAGGCTACATGTTGGATATAAAATATGCAGCTTTGATCTTAAACTATTAATGGTATTTTATTTCACTTGTAAGAATTACATAATCAGTGCTGACTTATCACAACCTAAACTCCACTACTACTTAATTGATCTGCTTTAATAAACTAACATGTCTCACCAGAAGACAACCTTGTGCAGTGTGCAGAGTTTGAAGTCCTGGATGATGGAGTTTGGGGCCGACAGAAAACTGCTTTCTTTCTCTGTACACTCAAAGACAGCCCGTCTCCAGAGAGCCCTCACTCTGAGACGAAGGGGCCGCTCTGGCATGGTACAGGCTGCCTACAGCCACCTGAGACCGCCCTCCTATTGAGTGGCTGACAACTTGTAACATTAGCCATTGTGTTGCAGCAGGCCATCCATCACGCCTCGCACCCTACAGTGACTCTGGTGGTGAGGGGCCCAGAGGCAGGACCCATGGAGGGCGTTGAGAACACTGTGTAACTCTGGATGACATCCTCCAACCAGTAATTGGGTTCAGCCGAAATTGTAATACCTCAGGGAGCAAAGGTTGTTTTTGCAGTGCACCCATTCATTTCATTTAGATTATATTTAGCATTAGCTTAACGCAGCTTTTTCCGCTATATAGTTCATCTCCAGTGCAGTTTGGTCTCAGAGCCTCGCTGCATCATTGAAGACAACTGTATAATAATACTGACAGCAGTGCTAACTTACAGGCACAGGGTGTATATTTTCAACCCTGTAATTACAACTGTGTGTGTGTACCCATCCCTCACTGTATCCACATCACAGAGCAGTTTTATTATCCCTCACTGCCATCAGTGGGAGGGGGCTTTGCATTACAGTGGTCTGCTACCTCGAAGAAGATCTGCTGGTAATTGCTACATAATGTGTTAAAACACTTTATTTACTTACTGCACCTACTTTAACCAAACAGTATTACAGGTCTGCTGCTGGACGGTTCAAATTGGATTTCTCACTCGGCCTGTAACATTATGAACATGGAAAGTGAAAGCTGTTGTCTAACCTCAGTAATAGGCGGTGTTTGTTTTCTGGGTGAGGAGAGAAAAGAATGTGATTATCTCAGTCCCAGAGGCACTCAGGTGTTTCCATTGTGCTGAAGCCAAGCAATGCTACTATATCACACTCAAGAAGAAGTAAAGTTACTGTAATTAAACATATTTAAAACAAAGGGTATTGTATCGAGAACTACTCAATAAAATGCTGCTTCGAAGACAGGTAAACACATTTGGCATTCTGACTGAGATCATTTCAAAATCATTGCATTTTAGAAGCTAAACCATCTCGACTTAATTGAGACTATAAAAGTCATCATCAAATCTTAGTGAGAAATCTTCTTTAAAGATTGCTTTAAGATCTTAAATGCAAACTCAATTGTTCATAATTTGCACACTGTCGGCTTCAAAGTGATTATTGAAAAAACATATATGGAACATATTCTACACATAAAGGTTATTTCAGTCATGGTCACATCATAATTTTCTGTTGCTCTACAGGAGCTTTGTAAAGTAAAAAAGAAAACTCTAAATACCTCACGTCTGGGCTTAGAATAACATATTCCTGGAAGCCTGTGTTAGAAACTGGGGTCGTGGAGTTTGAAAAGACGTGGGCATTTACAGATAATTTAAGCTTTTAAGTTGCATTATACAACAAAATATTCTATATGTTCTTTGAACTTGCTATTAGAAGCTAAAATTCGACATCCGATGCAAATGAGTCATTTTTGCTTCTAACAGTCAACCCAATTTGACTGGAGTTCCCCTTCAGAAATATAATTAATAATTTAAGTGTCTCTGTCACTGTAGGAGAGTACTTCTAAAAGGTTTGTTTAACTTGGGAATGCTGAACACGTTCATCTACACATGCAGGTATTAAAGCAGTACAACAGCTAACATACTGGAGGGGGAAACAGCTAGTCTGGGAGTGTACTAAGAAAACAGCAACTCTTAAGCTCACAAAAGTGACATGTTTTCTGTTTAATCCATAGACAAACAGAAATGTAAAAACAAGTTATGATTTGACGTGCCAATTATAGCCAGGCAAGCTGTCTCCCTTTGCTTCCAATCCTGCTAAGCTAAGCAAGCTGACTAGCTCCAGCTCCATACTTATCGCACAGACGTGTGGTATCAGTCCTATCATGTCGGCAACAAAGCTAATTAGTTTAACTATAAACAATGTGAATTAGGGTTTCATTTAATGAAACACAACCACACAAACCAGGCAACCATCACACAGAGTTCATGTTGATAGATCGAATACTGTGAGTGCCACTTTCCGCTTGGCCTTGAAATGTAATGTCAAATGTACTGCCCCACCCACCCCCACACACACACACACACACACACACACACACACACACACACACACACACACACACACACACTCAGTGAGTGAGAGAGAGAGAGAGAGACAGAGAGAGCAGGAGACGGAGCAGACTGTACAATAAACTCAGATAAGCCATTGTAAATGTAACCTTGTGTGTGTGTGTGTGTGTGTGTGTGTGTGTGTGTGTGTGTGTGTGTGTGTGTGTGTGTGTGTGTGTGCGTGTGCGTGTGCGTGTGTGTATGTGCGTGTGTCAGGGCCAGAGAAGAAGCTTTGTTACATGTGTGTAGATTATCTTTTGATATTTGTCCAGTTTATCGGCAGTTGGACACACATAGAGGTCGGTCATTCAGTCTGATGTGACTCCATTTTCCATTATCTGCCTCTTCCCTGTCTCTGTCATTCCCCCCCCCGTCTGCACCTATCAGTCCGGCACATGGCCTTCCTCCTGCAGCCAGCGAGGTGTGACCTGATGAGAGTGGTAATCAAAAGTGTTTATGTGCCCTTTTGGTCAATGTCGGTGTGTTGGTCCCCCACTTTGGTGCGGACGGAAATACCAGATGGATTCCTATAAATTGATAGTTCCCCAAATGTTTTAAGTGATGCTCAAGCGGCAACATGAGATTAACATTTGTGGTTTGTTTTTGACGACCATTGGGAGGATGTCCTTAAACTAAAATAAGTAACATACTTAATGCATAACTGTAAAAAAGGGTGTTTTCTCTTTATATCTCTTCTACACTAGGTCTGATGACCTTTTTGCTCCTCACTCATACAGCTCTGCCACGCTTATATCTTAACACTTTGATTATCATGTGCATGTTTAATGAACCTCTTCGACACATGCGAACAAATACCTTTACTCTGTCATCACCTTCTGTCCAAATATTAAATCTGATATATTTAATATTTCATGTTGTTTTCTGACAAGCATTACATTCTCAAAGAGCTGCTATTAACTGAAAGTCAGCACACACTCTGTATTTTCACTTCTGGAAGCATATATCCAACATCTGCTCACTCTGTTTGGCAGGTCAAATATATTTTTGAGTTCAGCTGTATGTGGAATAAGAGGCCTGCCGCACAGTAAGGTCACAGAGGCGCACACAAAAAGGCCTTTTTAGGACACTGGAGATTGAATTTAAAACCATTTGCGTTATGAGCCGACTTCAAACCCACTATCTGCAGCTAATGGAGATGGTGATTACCAACAAAGCAACGGATAGTTCCCAAACTGAAATCCCTGGGGAGGCCTGAAGAGACTTATAAGGATATGGAGTCTCTCTCTGCCTTTATCTTGCCTGTGCTATTTCGGAATCAAAGTGCTCATCATTCATCTATTATTCAACCTGTTTCACTCCACTGTTTCTCTTTCTGTTTTCACATACACCATTTAGCCTCAGCCCACTTGGTGGAGCTGTATTTATTTTTGGAGTCAGCTTTTTTTTTCTTCTTGTGACGTAGAGGTGCTTCTTTCCCTGTGTCTGGCCCTTTAACTTCATCGAACAGACACAAGACAAGACTGTTGTATTGGTAATCTACTTTATCGTTTTGCTCTTTAGAGTTTCTAATGATTCATTTTATTATTAATCAATCTTTATTTCGCTTTTATTGATTTTTTTTAAGGTTTAAATACCCTGAAGAATTAGCCATTTAAAATGATATATGAACTTTTCTCAACTCATGAAAAGTTTTTGCAGATACATGACTTTAACAGAATGATTGGCTAATTTAGTTTTTTGGAATGAGCCAGGAAAGGAAAGTGTGTTTTATAATGTGACGGCGCATACAATGACTGCTAATGCAAATCCATAAGTTAGAGAGGATATTATTTATTGCTTTTGCTGAAGAATAATTGACCTCTTTGTAGCCTGCTAGAGGAGTGTGTGTGTGTGTGTGTGTGTGTGTGTGTGTGTGTGTGTGTGTGTGTGTGTGTGTGTGTGTGTGTGTGTGTGTGTGTGTGTGTGTGTGTGTGTGTGTGTGTGTGTGTGACTGTCAGGAGCG